ACATTATGTTAAAAAGCACTCTAACATATATACATTCATTGTAGCAAGTATTTATGCTTATAATAATCTGTTACCCATTTATAAAATGTAACTTAAGGTGATGATTATTAATATGCATATATAGCTGTATATCAGTTATATAGAAAGCAGAATGGCTTTGTGTCGATCTTTCTAAACTTCAGAATCTAAATTATGTAACTATTAGCTAAATTAGTGTGTATTATAATCCTGTCTTCACCAAATTGCATTTCATAGAACTCCACTAACATTGCACACACATCGGTGCGTATTTGATCCTTGTCCTAATAGATTTTGGAAACACTGTGTATCATACATTCCTCTGGGACATTATAATACATTATTAAAGGATCTGAGATGTGTTGCAGTCCATAAAATTGTTAACATAGAACCCTATTTCACAGTTTTCTCAGAAATGTGTCGAGAATAGTAGTTATTGATTTAAGTTTGGTAAAATAAAACAAAGCAAAACAAAAATAGTTGGCGTGCAGTTGATCTCCCCGAGTAGCCCCGGGTGCTTTACAGAAGAGCAGTGTGTAGTGCATAGTTTTCGACTGCTGTGAGTCTTCAAATGGCAAGACTTTCTTCTGAAATACCTCTGGGGGCCTTTCTCCAGTCAACTCTTCAGGAAGGTGAGATGATAATAATCACTAACATATATAAATACAATTTAAAAATACATAATACAGAATTACCTTGTGATTCAGCTGATACACAAAGAGATGGGATCATTTGTTGAAGCATTAACTGGGTACATTTGGAGGCACTGTAACGAAGATGAATATATATAACAGCAGCTTCTAGAGCCTTGGCTGCATATCAGGATTAGCTAGTGTCATACAGAAACACAAAACAAATAAACAAATATAGGTCCCAACAGCAGCCCTGGGAGATTCTAATTAAGTGGCTTTCATGAGGTCTGGGGTTTAGAAATCTGGATGCAGAAGTCTGGATCTGCATCTCGGGTGATAATCATTGGGTGAGACCAGTGAAGGCATACTAGGGCATGAGAAGGACCTTAAATGAAGTTTGTTGGAGAGACACATTTGTGCAATCCGTGCTGTTGTTAAGTGCCATAAACAATAACATCTAGAAAGTATCGCCTGTGGAACCGTAACATAATAGAAAGTGTTATAACCTCTAGTTTTTATTATTTCATGGAATACTTTTTGATCAGTGGAAATAAGAAATGTTTTCTGCTTATTTGTACTGTAACATTTCCATGTTAATTCATTTGTGTGGGTTCTTCTGGCTGTTTTCATCAAATATGGTAGGAAAACCCTCAGAGCACTTCTTTAAAAACAGCATGTGCACAAAAGCATGGCTTACGGGGCATTGGCGTGTGGCACACACACTCTCTAGACAACTCTGAAGATCTGGTAACTAAACAACAAATTAAAGAAACGAGGAAATTCTTAGAAACAAAGCTGTTAGAGGGGAGCATTTATCGAAGAGATAAATATACTGTAATCCTGCTCATATGTACACATTTTAAAAATATTACTATGTGCTCATAGTATAATCCAAAACCAGCTAAGGAATAAAGAAATGCTTTCATTGTACAGATTTGAAAATTAAATACATATTAATATTGTTAGTCCTCCAGGAATACAAGAGTTTTAAACAAGGCAACTTCCTAGATTAAATCACCCTGTTTGAGATGTTTTAACACAAAAATATAGTTAAGAACATTTTTTCCTCAGAATTTTTACCTGCTACTTCTCCCTTATGATCTGAAAATATATGCTGTCAAAATTACTCTAATTTTTAAAACATGTAAAATTAGAACTGTAAATAATTTGCTTGGAAAATATTTTTTAGGCTAATGAGATTCCACTTTTGGATGACTTTTCCATTTTAAACCATGATTAAATGCTTTCCTCTTGATCAAAGGTTGAATCAATTGTAGGTTGCCCTTGTTGTTAGGACTCTCTTAAATTGCTGGAGCCATTTGGTTTTGTTTTGTTTTTTTCAAATTTTAATCTAATTATTGGGAAGCTTGCTCTGTACGTTCTTTCCATAAATCTTAAAGTTAAAGTCTACAGTTGAATGTATCTTCTTTAAGATTATCAAAGTGTAACAATCATTTCTCAGTTTCTTGATGAGGCACTTGAACTAAACTTACCTAAACCTCTGAACAAAAAGGCAAGGAACATAAAGATAATATGAAGAATGAGTAG